ATCTATATATATGTGTGTGTTTGTGTGTTTTGAGATTTGAATTCGAATATATAGATTTTTGAAAGCTCAAAGTTTTAAAAATCTGAAAAATCTGTAAAATCTGAAGAACTGGGGTATGAAAAATTGAGATTTCTCTAAAATTTTCAGATTATAGGCCTGATTCAAGGATTATAGGCATGATTCAATGTTTTTCAAAGTAAACATCGATTGATTCAAGGATTATAGGCCTGATTCAAAGCTCAAAGCTCAAAGTTCCATCGATTTTTTAGAGTAAACATCAAATTTCATTTGATAGAACCAGAGTAAAATTTTACTCTGGTTCTATCAAATGAAATTTGATGTTTACTCTGAAAAATCGATGGAACTTTGAGTTTTGAATTAGGCCTATAATCCTTGAATCAATCGATGTTTACTTTGAAAAACATTGAATCATGCCTATAATCCTTGAATCAGGCCTATAATCTGAAAATTTTAGAGAAATCTCAATTTTTCATACTCCGGTTCTTCAGATTTTTTAGATTTTTAAAACTTTGAGCTTTCAAAAATCTATATATTCGAATTCAAATCTCAAACACACAAACACACACATATATATAGATATAAATATATTCGAATTCAAATCTCAAAACACATATATATTCGAATTCAAATCTCAAAACACACAAACACACACATATATATATATAGATATATATGTATCAGCGCGATTTGTAAGTTCTCCACAGCTCCGGCCATGGAGGAAGCTAGGATTAGAAGAGAGAGACGAGATAGAAGATGAACAGTTGAAGGAGAGTTGAAGGAGAAGAGTTGAGAAGATGCAGAGAGAGATTGTCGGAGCTTAAAATTGACATAGCTCCGGCCATGGAGGAAGCTAGGGTTAGAAGTGAGAGACGAGAGAGAAGATAAATTTTGTATCTGAATTGTGTATATGTGAGGGTATAATAGTCTAATAAAATATTTAAATAATAAATTTTGTCCTTTATGCAAGATTTTATAATTATGAGGGGGTTTAGAAAGTATAGTTTTTTTCTTAGTCCTTCTAACAATGAAAGGAAGGTAAAGGGGGTTTATAACCAAATTTCCCAAAGAATAATTATACAATAAAAAATTATTTTACAATTTATCAACCAAACAATATTCTACTACTTAAATCTATAATTCCATAACAATACCAAATAAATTAACAATTTATATTTAAAATTATAAATTATAATATGTTAAATTATAATTTATAATATTTTTTCACAAACCGGCACTAATTTCTCTTGGTTAAGAAAGTGTTTTCAAAGCATTGGCCCCGTTTAGTAGAGCTGTGGGAAAGTGATTAGCTTATACCTTAACAGCTTATAACTTATAACTGTGAATATAAGCTGATTTTTGACTTATAAATTAAGTTTCTTTTCCCTCACGCAAAGAATAAGTTGATTTTTGACTTACAAAAAGCTATAAGCTATATTATTAAACTGAACCAAATACATCAAAATAACTTAAATTAAACTAAAAACTAAAATAAATTAAAAATAATCCATACCAAACAGCACCATTTTGTTAAAAAACAACGAAAAGGATCTAAGAAGATTCCAAGAACTTGAATTAGGTTTTTGCCACCACCACCACCTCTATCTCTCTTCCTTCTCAGCTCGCCACGTGACGAAAGCAATGAGCAACAAAGCCTCAGCTCCAGGTCCAGGTCCAGGTCCAGCCAATGATATCTCGGCACATCAGATCTCGCTTGGACTCAAACGTACCGAAACCGAAAACCGTCCAGGTTCAACGAACCTGAAAGAGCCGCCCTTTCTCACCCCCCTGTGGCCATTTTCAAGCTTTCTCTTTGCATTTTCTCATCCTTTTATAAATACCCACATCACACAAACACACTTTTCACAATCAAACACCCAAAATCAAAGCAATTTCTAGAGAAAGAGCTTGAGAAATCTGTAATGGCTTTGGCTGTTTCGTCTTCCAGTTCGATTTCTTCTCGATTCAGTGCTTCCCATGAACAACCCAAAGGTAGAATTTTTAGAATTTACCCTTTTGAAATTATCACTTCTTTTGGGCTTCAAATTGGGTTTTTGCCATGTTTGGATCTAGGTAGGTTTGGTGAATGAAAAAGATCGAGAGACAAAAATGGAGTGAAAAAAAATTAAATAAAATTTTATTTTCTGGGCTTGAATACATGAATAGTTTGATTTCATAGCATTAATGGGTTCATGAATGTTGAGGTTTGAGAGTCTGAATTTTATTTTATTTTTTTAATGTTTTTGATCAATTTTGCAGCTCCAATGGTGGGTTCTTTTCAGCCGTTGGATCGCCCTCATCGTCGACCGATGACGGGCTTGAATTATTCTCGGAGACAGTGTTCTGTGAAGCCATTGAATGCTGAACCCAAACGGAATGAGTCCATTGTCCCTCTTGCTGCAACCATGGTTGCTCCTGGTCTGTGTATTCTCCTTATTTTCTCATATGTACCTTATAACTGCACCGCATAATTACATAAACCAAACAAAAAAAATCATAATCAAAATAATGTGAAAAAAATTGATGATAACTAAATAAGAAAATGGCGTAACCAAGGATCAATCGTATGGAATGTGTATAATAAAATTCGACCTGTCATGTTTAGGCTCGTGAGTTCACACATCAGTCATTTTGTTAGCACTCCATAAAATTAGATCAATCTGATACATTATTGTTTTTAAAAATTAGATTGATCTCATAATGATATATTTTATTGTTTTTAAAAAGTACACTTAGACAAGGGCAATTTGGTCCAACGTGGACATTTGACACTTAGCACGAGTCTTGTACATTGAATTATCTCATATATACATATAGTTCTGTATTTATGATAAATTATTTTGACTAAATAAGAAAATGGCGTAACCAAGGATCAATCGTATGGAATGTGTATAATAAAATTCGACCTGTCATGTTTAGGCTCGTGAGTTCACACATCAGTCATTTTGTTAGCACTCCATAAAATTAGATCAATCTGATGAATCATTGTTGTTAAAAATTAGATTGATCTCATAATGATATATTTTATTGTTTTTAAAAAGTACACTTAGACAAGGGCAATTTGGTCCAATGTGGACATTTGACACTTAGCACGAGTCTTGTACATTGAATTATCTCATATATACATATAGTTATGTATTTATGATAAATTATTTTGGGATGTGTAATGACGGATTTGTCCCTTTGTGTTGGATTTGCAGAGGTGGTAGAGGAAGTAGTGGTGGAAGACTATGAGCAACTGGCTAAGGAGCTTGAAAATGCTTCACCTCTTGAAATTATGGATAAAGCCCTTGAGAAATTCGGCAATGACATTGCAATTGCTTTCAGGTATAAATTTATGGAACAAGTTATTCTTACGGATGCCATTTTTGTAATTAAAAGTCATTTTAATAGGTTCTTTCTCTTGAAGTGATAGTATTGTAATCTAGGCACATCATTTTGTTTAAGGTTTTTTTTTTTTTTTTTTTCGTTTTTTTGTATAGCATTATTCTAAATTCTTTGCTATATGGAATTTAGGCTCTATTTGGATGAGTTGATTTGAAATGAAGGAATTTGAGGTTTAACTTCACAAAACTATAGAAAGAGTAGCTAGCTAATAGTGCTATGCTAGATTGATGGATCTGTAGTTAGAAGATTGAATAGAGACAGGAGAGATATATGTTGTTGAGAACCTTGTATACACATTGAAGCTTTTATGGAAGGATTTCAAATAAGTATATCTATTCACCATGCTATATCAAATCAATCAATGTAAGCTGTCAAAATTGTATGTAACCTAAACTTCATTTGTATTAGAATCTCATTTTTCCACATAGAAAATCAAAGAGCTCACCAGGTAGTTTAAGTTGGTTGAACCAAATCGAACACTTAGCTTGGATCATGACAATCAAAGTCTAAACCGGATTTCAAGCAAGATTTGAACATTGTATATTTTTGGATTCTTATATGAACAGTTGCTGTTGAATGTCATGCCACAGCCTTTGTGAGCTGAATTTTCTTATCCCATGTTCCATCTTTTGCAGTGGTGCTGAAGATGTTGCTTTGATTGAGTATGCACATTTAACTGGTCGACCATTTAGAGTATTCAGCCTTGACACTGGGAGGCTAAATCCTGAAACATATAAATTCTTCGACACAGTTGAGAAGCAGTATGGCATTCGCATTGAGTATATGTTTCCCGATGCTGTTGAAGTTCAGGGTTTAGTAAGGAGCAAGGGATTGTTCTCATTCTACGAGGATGGACACCAAGAGTGTTGTCGGGTGAGGAAGGTGAGACCCTTGAGGAGGGCTCTAAAGGGGTTACGTGCCTGGATCACCGGGCAAAGGAAAGATCAATCCCCGGGCACTAGATCTGAAATTCCCGTAGTCCAAGTCGACCCTTCTTTTGAGGGAATGGAAGGTGGGATTGGTAGCTTGGTGAAGTGGAACCCAATGGCAAATGTCGAGGGCCATGATGTTTGGAACTTTCTTCGAGCCATGAATGTGCCCGTTAATTCATTGCACTCACAAGGGTACATATCAATTGGGTGTGAGCCATGCACAAGGCCGGTCCTACCTGGGCAACATGAGAGAGAAGGAAGGTGGTGGTGGGAGGACTCGAAAGCAAAGGAATGTGGCCTCCACAAAGGAAACATTAAGGAGGAAAATGTAGGAAAACTCAATGGCAATGGAAATGGAGCTGGCCAGGCCAACGGGACAGCAACAATTCCCGACATATTTGATAACCAGAGTGTTGTGAACTTGAGCAGGACCGGAATAGAGAATTTGTTGAAATTAGAGGACCGGAGAGAGCCTTGGCTTGTCGTTCTATATGCCCCTTGGTGCCAATTTTGCCAGGTAAACAATGTTTTAATTAAAAATGATCTGGTAATATTATATGTGTCTCATATTCTATCTGATTTGTACATATGACCTGTTTGCAACCCACTAGGTCTGACCTTGTTCTTGTTATCTTAGTATATATTATGTGTTATTTTGGGTATTAGGGTTAGGTGAATAGAGAGAACTCTTGTTACAGATGGTTTTGAGAGAGACAACTGCTTCTTGTATTTTTTCCTGTGGACGTAGGCTAAGTTGAACCATGTATATCTTTGAGAATCACTCTAACAACCTGTTCTTTGAAATTTTGAGCAGGGCATGGAAGGTTCATATGTTGAATTGGCTGAGAAGCTGGCAGGGACCGGTGTGAAGGTGGGAAAATTCAATGCAGATGGTGAGCAGAAGACGTTTGCACAGCAAGAATTGCAATTAGGGAGCTTTCCCACAATAATTTTCTTCCCCAAACACTCTTCTCGGCCCATTAAGTACCCCTCGGAGAAGAGGGATGTTGATTCCTTGATGACTTTTGTGAATGCTCTCCGATGATAATAAACAAGGTCGCATTAATGCAAGAGACTTTAACTCTTTAGAGAAGTGAAGTCCAAGGTTCTCCTTCGGTCTACTACGTTTAACTTAGCAAAAGCAGACTTGGAAATATGATCCACAAAAAAAAATAAAATAAAAAAAACGTAGGGAAGGACCAGAGTGCAACTGGAATTCACTGAAATTTCCTTCATTCCTTGCATGCTGTTTTTGTATAGAGTTTTCTCTTTCTTGTCTGACTAGATCACCCTTTTGGGCAGATTTTGTGTTACATTTTGTTTTTTTAGATTGGAGATTCTGTGAGAGAATGATATGGATTCTGTGAGAGAATGATATGTGTGAGTGTAATTCTGTGAAGTTATCAAGTGAAATGAAATTTCAGAGGCTTGATTCTATTTTCTGCCAACAATTTTCTCTTTTATTTCTTGTTTGTTGTTATATAACCATCCTTGGACCATTGACCATGGCAGTGGTAAGATTGTTTTCCTCTAAAAGTACGTCAATGGTCGAAATGAATGTCTTGTTCTTGGGTTTTGAGTGGGGGGTTTCATGGTATAATTCGGTTGAGAGTTGAGACTACATGACATTGTCATGTTATAGAAGGGTTTGGAGTGGGCAAGCTGTCTTGTTATTCTAATCTTTGTTGTTCTAGTCCATTTTTATTTTTGCATATGATTTCAATTTGTGTTTTTGTTTAGTTGTTTGAAGGTCTTGTGTACTTGTATTTTTGAATGGTGCCAAGTTTGTTCAAGTAATCCAATGACTAGCTGTTTGTTTATTGTCCAGTTGTTTATTCTTTGCTTTAGCTTTGGATAATAAACTTTTGTTCCACAACATCAGTGACTAAAGTCAAAACCAAAGATATCTAATACTATAGATTTAGTTCATGGCTAGGGTGTTGTTTTGCAGACAGGAATTGAACTATTTAAGAGTGAGGACATATGTGTTTTGGCGTCCTTTAGTTCATTAATGGGATCAAATTCTGGGCAGGAGAACTTCAATATGCAAAGTAACATTGAAGTCAAAATGTGTGCCCGCAAACTTGCTCTTTGGATAATAAAATATGTGCCTCCGCTTTTTCTTTTCCTTTTTTTTTTTGTAAAAAAAAAATCTTTTTATGGACTAATTTTTGAAGTGTGCCTGGACTCATGGTGCTTCTATTTAAAGAATAGAACAAAGTTAGAGTTATCTATAAAGTTTATTGCAGTATTTTATATTCAAATTTATAGCAGTTACCTTTATTTACTATTTTCTTGTTGCTGTTTCAGGCATGTTATGATTATCAAATACTAGGATCTACAAGTTGCACGTAATTGAAGATAACTTGAATATGTGGCAAAGGAAACAATAGCTTTTGCTACGTGTAGATGAAACTATCTCGTGAGAACAAGAAGATTTTAAGTTACGATGTTTGGTTATGAGAGGACTTAGGGCTGCATAAGAGGATGAATACTCTGGGTGACCTTATTCAACTGCATCCCCCAGATCTAATATGTTTCCAGGTTTTTTTCATTTCCATTTTATTAAATATTGAACTTCTTGTTTCTGAATGTTTGAGTTGTATGGAATCACCTGTATTGGTGAATTTGTTTTGTAGCTGCTAACAGAAATTTGACCTATTCACATAACGCTAGGCATCCAGTTGATTAAAAAATTGGAATAGATTAGTCTGTCTTTAAACTTCTTAGTATCTTGCTCTACTCTAATAATATTTACTACACATTCTCGCCAGTAATCGACTGCATGAAAATTTTTAAGCCTATCAACCTGTTGTTTTTGCAATGTTCCTTATTTTAATGGGTATAGAGTTGCTTCCATTGTTAAGTGATGAAATCATCCTCTTTGTCTGTCTCTGTCTCTGCCTCTGCAAGGCATGGAAAGTTAACCTGTGCAAAATATAGGTCCATAGAACACCATGAGGGATTAAGCGGGCATACTTTTTTTAGAAACCCTAATATTTTCTTAGAAATTGTTTTTGTCCAATATTTTGGGGATTGCTTCTGTATGATTTTTAGTATATTATCAACAACTATGTTTATTCTCAATTCTGGCATTAAATACAAATCACAACATTACGGTAGTTTGAAATCCAATTGAGAAATTAAATTCCAAATGCCAATGGATTTTTAATACTCACAATTTGAAGATTTGAGTTGTCATTCTAAAAGCTTGTAGATGTATAATATATACATATAATGTGTGTATATATGTATATATATATATATAGAGAGAGAGAGAGAGAGCTCATAAAGAGTGAGACAATGGGAGATTACAAAATATAAGGATGGATAGACTGGGAACAAGAGAATAGAATAGAATGAGGTAGTGAAATTATGTTGAATATACTATGTGTAATGGGATACGATTAAGACATGGGACATGGAAGGGGTGTAATGGGACATTGTGGTGCCTCTAGAGGTCTGTAACGTGGAGATGATGTTGAGGTGGCGATGACGTGGTGCTTCTAAGGCTCGCCACGTAGCAGTGCAGTATAGATACCCACACATCTCATTGATAACTGGATTATTTTTTGATTGTTTGTCATGTGATCTCACATCAAACTAAATCTATTATCTAGATTTTACTTATTTTCCTTCAAAAAATTCTTCTTTTCTATACCTCAAAATGTCAACTACCTGTTTAGACAGGGTAGCCGAAGTTACCAAGAATTTGATTGTAACAAAGTGCATATTAGTTTTCAAAAAATGCATCTTTAGAACTGTATTCTGGTTGGTTTGCGATTAGCGACAAGATTCATCATATCTGGAGAAACTATATTTAGAATTTTGCACTATGTTGCCAAAAGAATTGGAGTTTGGTAAATTGCTTGTACAAATGATTACAATAGAAGAAGAAGAAGACTAAGAAGAAGAAGAAGAAAGTATTGTCATGCAATGATAAGTTTGTAAATTGCAGTAACTAGTCATTAGTTATGTGATGATTAGGAGTCACTGGGGCTTCAAGCCTTATATAATCATAGAGGATTCCGCAAAGTGCATCTCCTGCCTTAGTCTGGGTGACAAATATGGAATTGTCTCCCTTAATCAGCAACAATGAGGAAACATCAATGTTAAAAAGCCGGTAAAGTCCATGAATTCCATGTCGACAAACTGTGTTATCTGTCCCCAGGTTCGTCACCTGAAACACTAGGTGTTCTACATCCATGTAATTGACATAAACCTGTAACAAACTACTATTAGAGATTACTTAAATAATTTTTTAAATAATTTTTTAGCTAATTAACACACTTATTGGCAGTGCAATATTTGTGATGCTCTAACCGTGAGATCAGAATGGGTTGCTGATGCAATTGCTAATCTCAGTTTGTAGCTTCCACTGGTTACTGAATTGAGATTAAAGTTGATTTTCCATGTTGATGGAAGATACTTTCCTTGTCCTCTCCTGTAATACTTAATTTTTCTTGTCAGTAGATTTCACTTCATTGGACTTCAAATATGAAGAACATATTCATGAAAAGTCTAGCTTGAGTTTTATGCTAGTATATTATATGTGATTATGGGAAGGAAAGAGAATGGAAACCTGTCGACATGAGCAAAGAACCAATCTTTCTTTGGATCATTGACGCCTATAGTGAAAACTTGATCAGATTGAGGGTGTATATCAGTATATCTGTCACACAAACCGTATTGCCTGAATCTGTATTGTGGTAAAATGATTTAGAACAGTTGAAATATATGTGAATGGCTTCTATAGGTTAAATGGACAAGAACAAAACAAGTGCTATTGTTTATCACACAAAGAGGATAGAGTTTGCTTACTTCTCAGGGCTGTTGAGAAATAACTTATTGACATACATTGGATTCACATCAGGAACATAACTATCAATAGCTGTACGATCCGGGAATCCAATGTCCCATACAGTTGGACCTTCTCTGACAGGAGCATCTATCAAATTGCCAAGTTGTGTTTGTGATCCTGGGAAACTCGGAACAATCAGTTTGGTAGAATATATGGTGCCATGAGTGATTGAAAACATTTCTTCAAGTGGAATATATATATACAATTAGTTGAAAACCATTCTTCGGATTGATGCTATAGGTAGGGCCATGAGCTCAAGGTCCCTAAGTGAATATCTAGTGTAAGAGCATACTGTTTTGATTTCAAGTTTGTGCTGCAGATGGAAAAAGGAGTAATGAACTTGTACCTGAGGAGATAGTCATGGGTTCTGTGTCAAGGTAATCACCGATGAAACCAGGAACCCAGCCGTGGAGTCCATAAACATTGGGAATAACATTATTGATGCTTGTGGGGAAGTGGTTTGGAAATACTCTTTAGATCCTGGGGGACGCTCGTGATCCTCAAATAGACATCTGAAAAGAAATGAACACTCTGGTCAGGGGTGTCGGAATTAGCACTCCGACGGACAAGTCAGTCTCTATTCTCTCTGGATTACTTGTATTTTAAGTTAAGCACACTAGTTCTCACATACCTTTCTTCGATTGTTGTTCTTCTATTTATACTCGTTTCCTGGGCCTCGGGGCCTGGCCCACTTTTCGCCCATTATCCTCTTATTTATTCGGCTCCATAATTCAATAGCTATTCGGCCTATTTATTGTATTCGGCCTTCTGATCGTGCAGGATGGGGCCGAATAATGTCTGTCTCCTAGGCCTCCAAGTGTACTTCGCTTATCTGATTTCGCTATTTATTTAGCTCCCACAATTGCCTCCCAAACTCCCTATTAACAGCAGTTAATTGGCGTGTTTGGTTTCGAATTTGAAAAGTCAAAAGAAATATAAATTAGGCGGCTTCGCCTATCCCAATGTGAATGTCAGAACGCACATGCTTTTTGGTCATCATTATACGTTCCCGCCTCATTCGTGCATTTCTTGCATTTATTACGATTTGAAACTCTGGTCTCTTCGAATGCATGCTTTTTGAATATTTGAGCTTCCTGGACTGCCAGCCGGTATTCCTCCTCTGTCTTGCGTTTTCTGCAACTTCTTCCCATCTTTCCTTGTCTTCTTTGTCTTGCGTAAGTTTTCTTCTCTTCTTCTTGTAGTCCTATTTTCCGTGTTTATTTTCGATTTAGCATACCCTTGAGTCCTTACTAGAATGGCTAAGCATTTGAAAGACCTCCTTTCTGAGGGTCGTATTTTTGGGTTCCGATGACATTTCTCTATCCCTGATGATGTCCATCTATCTCTCGTGACAGACAATACTCTTGATATGGAGAGGGATGATGAAAATACAATCGTCTTTCCTCTCTTATCCATTGCGGAGGGCGGAGTCCGTTTTCCTCTGCACCCATTTCTTAGGGCCGTCCTTCGCCATTGGGGTCTGATTCCTTCCCAACCCAATGTGAATTTTTTTCGAATCATAATTGAACTAGCGCCTCGGGATCAACCTGGGCGATCCTTCGATTCGGCATTGCTACGCTTTAGCCAAATCCTTCAGTCGGCTCGGGCGTTATTTTCTCAGGGCCAAGGACACTGACCATCACTTGGTAACCATGCTTGCCAGCTCTGGCAAGCGAGTTGATGATGTGATGGTCCATGTCCGAGGCAACTGGGAATTCGGCGAAGGCGAAGATCGCTTAAACCCTATACCCAGACGGAGGGGCGAACCAGGTTGCCGTGTAGCTCCTTGCGTTTATTGATCCTTCTTTTACTCGGCTTTTTCTCCAAGTCTAATCCTTTGTTTATGCAGGCAACAATTTGAAGAAAATTCTAATCTCGGCCGACGACGCAGTCCTTGTGGAAATCAAGACTGCACTCAGGTTTTTTGGTCGTCCAAACGTACAGAAGCAAGGGAGAGCCGCTCATATACTCCTGCGGTACAAGCCAACTTACACTACGTTCTCGGTCGCGGACAACATTCCGATCCCATCCGGCGAACATATTACGGCTCTTGTCTTCCCCCGCTTCAAAAACCTTAGGCAAATTGGTTTCGAAGCTTCTGATTCGGAGCAAGACGTAGAGCCGGCGGTCGAGGTGATTGCCGAACCAACGAGAGAGTTCGCTGCGGAAGCCGAAGAGGTTGACGAGGCTCTAAACTCAACGTTTGAGGCAGCCGGTCTTAACCAGTCTAACTCTCCGTCCATTTCGGGTCGGGGGGAATTTTCCTTTGGAGATATTTTTACTGGTTTGGAAGATCTTCCCGGCTCCTATCGCGAGAATATGGCGAAGGAATCTCTTTCCCAACTGGCCCGTAAAAAGAACGCTGAGCATTTGGCCGCCCGTCAGAAAGTCAAGGCCATTAGTTCCAAACCAGCCCTCCTTGAATCCTCAATGCCGATTGTCATGGTTGAAACGGCTCAAACTTTTTCCGTCGAGACGGAGCGGTCGGTCGAACGGTTGACTCCAGAGGCCGATAAGGGGAGGGAGAAGCGTCCTGCCGATTTCGAGGATGTCTCCGAAGAAAACCCAGTCAAAAAACGGCCGTGCTTAGAGGAGTCGGATGTGGTTGTTCCTTTTGTGGTTCAGCCGAAGATAAAAAACATGCCGATCTCCTTTGACCCATCAGCTATGAAAGACCCAGCCGTAGCATTGAGCCTGGCTTCGTCGGTCTCGTTGCCGGCTGACAAGGCGGCTTTTTGCTCGGAGCCGGACGTGTTGGCAATTGCATTAGCCGCTCAGACAGCTCTTTTGGTATATAGCTTGATCTTGTCTTTTGCGTTTTTGCATATATTGTCTTGGTTTTAATTTTTTGTTTTACAAACAGTCGGAAGGATAGCCGAGATAGGGCGGCGCCAACATGACACTATCGAAGAAATTGGCTGTTTAAGATCAGAGGTTGAGAGAGAAAGGAGTAGGGCCGATTTCAAAATGGCGAGGGCGACAATGGAGAGTGCGAGGGTGGAGGCCGAGATGGAAAGAGCGAAAAATGATGAACAGCAGAGATTGGTCGCCGAGCAGAGGGCAAACGCGAGCGATGAAGCGCTCAAGTCAGCCCAAGAGGTGATTGCCCGGCTTGAGATCGAATTGGAAGAATTGAAGAAGGCAAAAGAAAAAGCCGACTCCGAGACTTCTAAGGCGTACAAGGTCGGACAAGGCGCCGCCCTTGCAAACTACGTGGAAGAAGTTCCCAAATTTGAGAACCGGAGATTCAAGCACAGCTGGCTCAAAGCCCTTGCTGCTACAATGTGACATTGGCTATGCCAATTTCATACGAGCAAGTGGACATCGAGCCGCCGGAGTCTGACCCTGAGGACCCTGAGGATTGATTAGGACGACATACTGGTTGTTTTTGCCAAGGATTTTCAATGTATTTTATTTTATTTTATTTTTACTCAGGGTGATCTTCATGCATAAAGTGATACCTTATCTGTATTCAGTTTATCAATGAAATTTTCCCTTGCTTTGCATTATGTCTGTACTTAATTGCCGTTATCAATTCTTGAATGTAGCTCCTTGCTTTTCTTTAGACAATCGTCCTATTAAAAAGATGGATAATTCAAGAATTGAGAAATATTCATGAGTCAGACTTTGGATTAATCGAATAGGTTTAAGAACATGCCCTTGCATTTGAACCAATCGGTGCCAGGCCTTGCATTATGTGTGAATGGTGAAGGCATGAGATCCTTTCGGCTTCGTGAAATGGCTGAGGCACGATCCTTTCGGCTCAAGGCTCATTATTAGGAATCAAAGATCATAAATTACCTCAAAAGTTTTAATTTCTTGGCCAGCTCAACTGCAAAGTTTTTCATTGTTCTATTGTTTGTAGTAAAATGCACTCATTTTTATTTTTATTTTTTGTTTTTCATAGATTGTTCTTATAATTATTTTTGTTACCTTGCTGGCTCAGGCACTTCCATATTTCCTACCCTATTCTTTCTTGTAGTTTGTTATCCATTTTCCTAAGATTGCACTAGAAACATGGATTTGAGTTTGGAAGTGGATTCAATTCTAAGGATTTAAAATCTAAGCAGTGAAAATTCTTAGATTTCAAATTCTTTCTTTCAATGCTAAGAATTAGTAGATGAATTTGGGAACATACACACACAATATGTACATACATATAGGTATATAATGTTTGAGCTAGGGTTGTGGAGAGAGGTATATATATATATATAGAGAGGGAGGGAGGGAGCTCATAAAGAGTGAGACAATGGGAGATTACAAAATATAAGGATGGATAGACTGGGGACAAGAGAATAGAATAGAATGAGGTAGTGAAATTATGTTGAATATACTATGTGTAATGGGATACAATTAAGACATGGGACATGGAAGGGGTGTAATGGGACATTGTGGTGCCTCTAGAGGACTATAACGTGGAGATGATGTTGAGGTGGCGATGACGTGGTGCTTCTAAGGCTCGCCACATAGCAGTGCAGTATAGATACCCACACATCTCATTCATAACTGGATTATTTTTTGATTGTTTGTCATGTGATCTCACATCAAACTAAATCTATTATCTAGATTTTGCTTATTTTCCTTCAAAAAATTCTTCTTTTCTATACCTCAAAATGTCAACTACCTGTTTAGACAGGGTAGCCGAAGTTACCAAGAATTTGATTGTAACAAAGTGCATATTAGTTTTCAAAAAATGCATCTTTAGAACTGTATTCTGGTTGGTTTGCGATTAGCGACAAGATTCATCATATCTGGAGAAACTATATTTAGAATTTTGCACTATGTTGCCAAAAGAATTGGAGTTTGGTAAATTGCTTGTACAAATGATTACAATAGAAGAAGAAGAAGACTAAGAAGAAGAAGAAGAAAGTATTGTCATGCAATGATAAGTTTGTAAATTGCAGTAACTAGTCATTAGTTATGTGATGATTAGGAGTCACTGGGGCTTCAAGCCTTATATAATCATAGAGGATTCCGCAAAGTGCATCTCCTGCCTTAGTCTGGGTGAGAAATATGGAATTGTCTCCCTTAATCAGCAACAATGAGGAAACATCAATGTTAAAAAGCCGGTAAAGTCCATGAATTCCATGTCGACAAACTGTGTTATCTGTCCCCAGGTTCGTCACCTGAAACACTAGGTGTTCTACCTCCATGTAATTGACATAAACCTGTAACAAACTACTATTAGAGATTACTTAAATAATTTTTTAGCTAATTAACATACTCATTGGCAGTGCAATATTTGTGATGCTCTAACCGTGAGATCAGAATGGGTTGCTGATGCAATTGCTAATCTCAGTTTGTAGCTTCCACTGGTTACTGAATTGAGATTAAAGTTGATTTTCCATGTTGATGGAAGATACTGTCCTTGTCCTCTCCTGTAATACTTAATTTTTCTTGTCAGTAGATTTCACTTCATTGGACTTCAAATATGAAGAACATATTCATGAAAAGTCTAGCTTGAGTTTTATGCTAGTATATTTTGTGTGATTATGGGAAGGAAAGAGAATGGAAACCTGTCGACATGAGCAAAGAACCAATCTTTCTTTGGATCATTGACGCCTATAGTGAAAACTTGATCAGATTCAGGGTGTATATCAGTATCTCTGTCACACAAACCGTATTGCCTGAATCTGTATTGTGGTAAAATGATTTAGAACAGTTGAAATATATGTGAATGGCTTCTATAGGTTAAATGGACAAGAACAAAACAAGTGCTATTGTTTATCACACAAAGAGGATAGAGTTTGCTTACTTCTCAGGGCTGTTGAGAAATAACTTATTGACATACATTGGATTCACATCAGGAACATAACTATCAATAGCTGTACGATCCGGGAATCCAATGTCCCATACAGTTGGACCTTCTCTGACAGGAGCATCTATCAAATTGCCAAGTTGTGTTTGTGATCCTGGGAAACTCGGAACAATCAGTTTGGTAGAATATATGGTGCCATGAGTGATTGAAAACATTTCTTCAAGTGGAATATATATATACAATTAGTTGAAAACCATTCTTCGGATTGATGCTATAGGTGGGGTCATGAGCTCAAGGTCCCTGAGTGAATATCTAGTGTAAGAGCATACTGTTTTGATTTCAAGTTTGTGCTGCAGATGGAAAAAGGAGTAATGAACTTGTACCTGAGGAGATAGTCATGGGTTCTGTGTCAAGGTAATCACCGATGAAACCAGGAACCCAGCCGTGGAGTCCATAAACATTGGGAATAACATTATTGATGCTTGTGGGGAAGTGGTTTGGAAATACTCTTCAGATCCTGGGGGACGCTCGTGATCCTCAAATAGACACCTGAAAAGAAATGAACACTCCGGTCGGGAGTGTCGGAATTAGCACTTCGACGGACAAGTCAGTCTCTATTCTCTCTGGATTACTTGTATTTTAAGTTAAGCACACTAGTTTTCACATACCTTTCTTCGATTGTTGTTCCTCTATTTATACTCGTTTCCTGGGCCTCGGGGCCTGGCCCACTTTTCGCCCATTATCCTCTTATTTATTCGGCTCCATAATTCAATAGCTATTCGGCCTATTTATTGTATTCGGCCTTCTGATCGTGCAGGATGGGGCCGAATAATGTCTGTCTCCTAGGCCTCCAAGTGTACTTCGCTTATTTGATTTCGCTATTTATTCAGCTCCCACAATTGCTCCCCAAACTCCTTATTAACGGCAGTTAATTGGCGTGTTTGGTTTCGAATTTGAAAAGTCAAAAGAAACATAAATTAGGCTGCTTCGCCTATCCTAATGTGAATGTCAGAATGCACACACTTTTTGTTCATCATTATACGTTCCCGCCTCATTCGTGCATTTCTTGCATTTATTACGATTTGAAACTCCGGTCTCTTCGAATGCATGCTTTTTGAATATTTGAGCCTCCTGGACTGCCAGCCGGTATTCCTCCTCTGTCTTGCGTCTTCTGCAACTTCTTCCCATCTCTCCTTGTCTTCTTTGTCTTGCGTAAGTTTTCTTCTCTTTTTCTTGTAGTCCTATTTTCCGTGTTTATTTTTGATTTAGCATACCCTTGAGTCCTTACTAGAATGGCTAAGCATTTGAAAGACCTCTTTTCTAAGGGTCGTATTTTTGGATTCCGACGACATTTCTCTATCCCTGATGATGTCCATCTATCTCTCGTGACAGACAATACTCTTGATATGGTGAGGGATGATGAAAATACAATCGTCTTTCCTCTCCTATCCATTGTGGAGGGCGGAGTCCATTTTCCTCTGCACCCATTTCTTAGGGCCGTCCTTCGCCATTGGGGTCTGATTCCTTCCCAACCCAATGTGAATTTTTTTCGAATCATAATGGGAATCGTAGAATTGAACCGGCACCTTAGGATCAACCTTCCTGCCATTCAGCACTGCTATGCTTTAGCCAAATCCTCCGGTCGACATGGGCGTTACTTTCTCAAGGCCAAGGACACTGACCATCACTTGGTAACCATGCTTGCCAGCTCTGGCAAGCGGGTTGATGATGTGATGGTCCATGTCTGAGGCAACTGGGAATTTGGCGAAGGCGAAGATCGCTTAAACCCTATACCCAGACGGAGGGGCGAACCAGGTTGCCGTGCAGCTCCTTGCGTTTATTGATCCTTCTTTTACTCGGCTTTTTCTCCAAGTCTAATCCTTTGTTTATGTAGGCAACAATTTGAAGAAAATCCTGATCTCGGCCGACGACACAGTCCTTGTGGAAATCAAGATTGCACTCAGGTTTTTTGGTCGTCCAAACGTATAGAAGCAAGGGAGAGCCGCCCATATACTCCTGCGGTACGAGCCAACTTACATTACGTTCTCGACCGCGGACAACATTCCGATCCCATCCGGCGAACATATTACGGCTTTTTGTCTTCCCCCGCTTCAAAAACCTTAGGCAAATTGGTTTCGAAGCTTCTGATTCGGAGCAAGACGTAGAGCCGGCGGTCGAGGTGATTGCCGAACCAACGAGAGAGTTCGCTGCGGAAGCCGAAGAGGTTGACGAGGCTCTAAACTCAACGTTTGAGGCAGCCGGTCTTAACCAGTCTAACTCTCCGTCCATTTCGGGTCGGGGGGAATTTTCCTTTGGAGATATTTTTACTGGTTTGGAAGATCTTCCCGGCTCCTATCGCGAGAATATGGCGAAGGAATCTCTTTCCCAACTGGCCCGTAAAAAGAACGCTGAGCGTTTGGCCACCCGTCAGAAAGCCGAGGCCATTAGTTCCAAACCAGCCCTCCCTGAATCCTCAGTGCCGATTGTCGTGGTTGAAACGGCTCAAACTTTTTCCGTTGAGACGGAGCGGTCGGTCGAACGGTTGACTCCAGAGGCCGATAAGGGGAGGGAGAAGCGTCCTGTCGATTTCGAGGATGTCTTCGAAGAAAACCCAGTCAAAAAACGACCGTGCTTAGAGGAGTCAGATGTGGTTGTTCCTTTTGTGGTTCAACCGAAGATAAAAAACATGCTGATCTCCTCTGACGCATCAACTATGAAAGACCCAGCCGTAGCGTTGAGCCTGGCTTCGTCGGTCTCGTTGCCGGCTGACAAGGCGGCTTTTTGCTCGGGGCCGAACGTGTTGGCAATTGCATTAGCCGCTCAGATAGCTCTTCTGGTATATAGCTTGATCTTGTCTTTTGCGTTTTTGCGTATATTGTCTTGGTTTTAATTTTCTGTTTTACAAACAGTCGGAAGGATAGCCGAGATAGGGCGGCGCCAACATGACACTATCGAAGAAATTGGTTGTTTAAGATCGGAGGTTGAGAGAGAAAGGAGTAGGGCCGATTTCGAAACGGCGAGGGTGACAATAGAGAGTGCGAGGGTGGAGGCCGAGATGGAAAGAGCGAAAAATGCTGAATAGCAGAGATTGGTCGCCGAGCAGAGGGCAAACGCGAGCGATGAAGCGCTCAAGTCAGCCCAAGAGGTGATTGCCCGGCTGGAGACCGAATTGGAAGAATTGAAGAAGGCAAAAGAAAAAGCCGACTCCGAGACTTCTAAGACGTACGAGGCCGGGCAAGGTGCCGCCCTTGCAAACTACGTGGAAGAAGTTCCCAAATTTGAGAACCGGGAATTCAAGCACGGCTGGCTCAAAGCCCTTGCTGCTACAAATGTGACATTGGCTATGCCGATTTCATACGAGCAAGTGGACATTGAGCCGCTGGAGTCTGACCCCGAGGACCCCGAGGATTGATTAGGACGACATATTGGTTGTTTTTGCCAAGGATTTTCGATGTATTTTATTTTATTTTTACTCAGGGTGATCTTCATGCATAAAGTGATACCTTATTTGTATTCAGTTTATCAATGAAATTTTCCCTTGCTTTGCATTATGTCTGTACTTAATTGCCGTTATCAATTCTTGAATGTAGCTCCTTACTTTTCTTTAGACAATCGTTCTATTAAAAAGATGGATAATTCAAGAATTGATAAATATTCATGAGTCAGACTTTGGATTTATCGAATAGGTTTAAGAACATGCCCTTGCATTTGAACCAATTGGTGCCAGGCCTTGCATTATGTGTGAATGGTGAAGGCATGAGATCCTTTCGGCTTCGTGAAATGGCTGAGGCACGATCCTTTCGGCTTATGGCCAAGGGATTTAGCCGATTCGAGTAGAGAGCCATTGGCCGTTAGGATTAAGGAATCTGCCCTTGCCTCAGATATGAATTGGACCACCGAATGAGTCCGGTTTGTGAAATGGCTGAGGCACGATCCTTTCGGCTGAAGGCCAAGGGATTTAGCCGATTCGAGTAAGGAGCCGTTGGCCGTTAGGATTAAGGAATCTGCCCTTGCCTCAGATATGAACTAGACCGCCGAATGAGTCCGGTTCGTGAAATAGCTGAGGCACGATCCTTTCGGCTGAAGGCCAAGGGATTTAGCCGATTCGAGTAGGGAGCCGTTGGCCGTTAGGATTAAGGAATCTACCCTTCCCTTAGATATGAACTAGACCGGCGAATGAGTTCGGTTCGTGAAATGGCTGAGGCACGATCCTTTCGGCTGAAAGCCAAGGGATTTAGCCGATTCGAGTAGGGAGCCGTTGGCCGTTAGGATTAAGGAATCTGCCCTTGCCTCAGATATGAACTGGACCGCCGAATGAGTCCGGTTCGTGAAATGGCTGAGGTACAACCCTTTCGGCTGAAGGCGGATTTAGCTGATTCGAGTAGGGAGCCGTTGGCCGTTAGGATTAAGGAATTTGCCCTTGCCTCAGCCCAGATATTAAGGTTAAGGAATTACCCCCGGTTTGGGGTGAATCTAGAAAGTCGAAAACCGGCGGCTTATGGAGTGCGTGCATTAATGAGGTCGCCTCCCATAAATTATTTAGAGGGGGTTATGTCCAAATAAAACTCGACCCTGTATATCGAATGTGGGCAGCGAAGAGTGAATGTCTAGCAGACTATTCTTCAACAGTAAAGGGGAAGGCAGGACACTGGCGGAGCTGGACTCAATGAATCGAGGTGGCGAACCTCCTCGAACGGGAGTTAGAGCATCTGTTGAGCATGAGAGGCATCGTTCTCCTTGTCGACGAAGTAGGTCACCTAGAAGGGAGAAACGCCAACGGGGAAGTTCCCCTCGTCCGTGCAGTGAAGCCAGTGGGCCACCATGGCCATTGAGCTTTGCAGTTTTTGTCGATAACAAATTGATGACGGAGGTGGATTCAATCATCCGAGATCCAAACGTGGCAGTTGAATTTGCACGACAGATTTTTTCGCCAGAAGTTCAGCAGTCGATGGTTGGTCGACGAGACTTCGAAATGTTCCGAGAGGGCATCCATGGGGCGGTGAAGGGACTATATACCGCCTACGAAATCGGTATGCGCCTTTGTGCTGCTCGGCAGGAGATAGAGCAGAGGGACGAACGTATTCGAAGCCTAGAAGCTCGAGCGGAGAAAGCCGAGCGTGAGCTGAGAAAAGTCAAGACTAGTGGGGAACAGTCGGTCGGAAAGTTTAATCTGATCGTGGAGGAAAGGGTGATCCAACGGCTAATAAGTCTTGCG